AAGGACTCATGATCTGCAGAGTTCAGTTCATCTGCTGCCATGAGCTCAGTCATCCTGAAGATACGATCTGAAGTAGGTCAAGCTTTTCAAATTTCTGGACCCATTTCTCCTCTGGCATCAGTTGCAAATCTGACGTTTCATGTCAGAGGAGGGGGCATCCCATACTTTCAGGTTCTCTGGGATTATAAGTGCCTTATAAGACTGGAATTTCTTGCTTGAAGAAAGCACTAACCTTGCTAGGCTGGCACTGAAGCCTGGGGCAGAAACTGCCTTTGAAACATGTGTGACCCCAACTCATGCACATGAGCTTTTTACACAAAGTAGCCTATGGACACAGGCCATAAAGACATCCACGTGTATAAACAAAATTTGTTTAGTAAGGGCAGTGTATTCAGGCTACTCCCTGCTCCCTGGCTATAACGCATTAGTATTATTGACTGTTTTGGTTAGTAAGGCCAGAGCGTGTAATAGCTGGGAGACGGAACTGCAACTTGAACGCGTGCACTGATTCACTGCGGGTACTTGTTCACACATCTCCGCCTGTGGCACACGGCCGCGTGTGTATCGCGAGATGTGCTCCCCTCAGCATTGTCGCGACAGTTCCCTGCTGTGCGACTTGCACCGCCTCTGCTGGATCAGAGACCGTCTCTCTCCGCAAAACTGGAAATCCTGATTCAAAACAAGTTTGCACCTAGCAGGTCAGACCAGCACAGAGTATGCTTGCCAGACAACTTAGGAAAACCTAAGCCAGAACCCAAATACTGTTGTCTGGAAAATCCTCACGGCTTTAATGGAGCTATGCTGCAGTTCACATTTTCAAGACACCTCGGGTGAGATTTTCAAAGCTGTCCCACTGCCACGAGAGCACAAACCTCACCAAACGCGGAAGGTTTGCTCAGTATATCTGGGGGAAAAACTGAGCTGGAGCATACGCAGCTCCCGGCCTCCGAGCCGGCAGAAGAGCTCCTGAAACCTTGCGGTGAAACTCCCGCAGCGGTCGGGAGACCGGGCTGCGAACCCACCCAACTGCTGCTCTCGCGCTCCCTTCTTACTCCTCTTCGCTCGTTTGAAGCTTCAAACCGAGGAGACAGTTCGGGAGAAGGAGAAGAGACCGAAGCGAAAGAGCAGCAGTCCCTCCGACCGGGGCTGGACGTGACCCGGCTTCCCCCCCTCCACAGCCCTGCCTCCTTCCCTCTCTTCACAGTGACACCTACCGGCCTCCCCCGAAACCTCCCCGCTCCCCCCCGCCGCAGCCCCTCCGCCGCTCCCCGGGGGCTCCT